CTTCCCTCCCTCCCTCCCTCCCTCAAAGGCAGGAGTAATAAGGTTAGACCAGCGATTCCAATTTTGCAGTTGGTTCCATGGTGTTCAGTTGAACGTATTTACTCCAACCCTGTTGGAATGGGGAGAGCAGATGCTGGGGGATTTCCATCAAGCCTAGCCAGCAGGACCCCCAAAGCTGGTGGCATCATGGGAGTTTGTAGGTGGAGGCCCATGAATTACTCAGCGCTGTCTCCAGGGCTGAGCCTTGACTTCAAAAACAGTCGTTCAAAGCAGAGTTGGCAAACCAGCGGGAGTATGCATGCGTTGCTTTGTAATTCACCAGTCCAGTTCTGAGCGTCTCCAGTTTAAAGGCTCTCAGGTCTTAGAAAAGAAAGACATTTGCTCGAGATCCCTCAGCACATGAGTAAACTTGTGCGCGCTAGATTCATTGCGTCTTGGCAATCTTTCTCACATGTCCAATGTAAATATCCAGTGCTTTATCACATCCCGAGGGGCCATTTTGCGATCACCTCGCCCGATGGAAACCTGATTCTGTGGGAACTTGTAATTCATAGCCTGTCCTGGGTTGTCCTCTTTTTATTTTTAAGTTGGAACAATTCCAGAGCAGCCGGACCAGACCGTTGCCGCTTCGCCTCTTGGGCTAGAGATGAGAAGCCGAGTACCTCTAGCGGGTATGTCCCGGTTTCGTTGACCTTCAGTTCTTTCTCCTTCCTGCGCATTCTCCGTGCAGGTAAACATGGTTGTCTTGCTTTTTTTCTTCCCAGGCGCCTCTGTGCCTGACCTTTGCCCGCGGGGAATGGGCTCCCGTCTCCACAGCGCTCCCAACCTGTCGGATCTCCATTCCTGCCGGCAAAAGATCACCAAGCAATACTCAGATCCCCTGGTCGCCCATTTCAGCCACGTCCCGACTGGCCAGCCTGCGCCCCCATGCGGCCTGCCAGCCTGCCGTTCCCTGAGGTCTTCCCCGAAGCTCTCCGAATTCATGCAGAGAAGCCCTTTGCCGACTATTATGGGATCTCCCACAAAGGTATCCCAATCCCTGGGGGGGATCTGGTTTGTGGTCTGCTTTGTGTGTCTGCTCTATATAGTTCTTGCAGTTCGGTGTGACTATAACTGCGGTGACTCTTGTCTTACAAGAATCTCGAGGCCCTCCACTGAATGCTCGATGGTTGTCCAAACACCAGAGCGATCGAAAGCAAAATCCTGCGTCTTCCCAAATTGTGCTATTGTCCATTTTTTTGGGAAGGACTAATAGGGCGGGTTGAAAACAGCATTAATTACCCTGTTTCCCCTAAAATAAGACCTAACCTGAAAATAAGCCCTAGTAGGATTTTTCAGGATGCTTGTCATATAAACCCTGCCCCCAAAATAAGCCCTAGTTAAGTGAAAACCCGCCCTCCACCCTTGTGCAGCAACCAGAAGATGATGACATGACTGCATTTGAATGAACGTAGATGGTTGTACAGTACATGAAAAAAATCCCCTGAAAATAAGCCCTAATGCGTTTTTTGGAGCATATTCATATAACACCCTGTCTTATTTTGAGGGGAACAAGGTAATTAATTAATTACTAATTAAAGTAATTAATAACTAATTAATTTATTAATTGCAGCAAGACCAATTAGAGCAAAAAGTTAGAACGTTAATTATAACTTGCAGCTAAGTGAATGCGTGGAGTTGAGCCGTGAATGATAAATTGACGTCCAAGATTAAAATTGGGGAAAAAAAAACATGGATGGTTGTGAATGAATGAGTTTAGCAATACATGGGGAGATCTTGCAGAATTCGTTCCGGTGAAACATCCAAGCAACACGGCATTTTTGAAAGGTTCAAGGGGCTTTGTGATATTATTATTAATAATAATAAAACAGGTATCACTAAATTTCTGGTGTGCTAAACGTTAGTAATAAGGATAGCCGTGTATGGAGACGTATTACTTTGTACTAAGGATGGTATTTTTCTTCTTCGTAATTATTAATGTTATCCTTTTTTTAAAGGATGATACTTTTTGTATTGTAAGTTTCTTTAGAAGTGGGGAATGGGAAAACCACTTCTGAGTATTCTCTGCCTAGAAAACCCTGGAAAAGGTTGCCGTAAGTCAAAATCGACGACACGGCATCGTCGTCGTCCTCCATTCCTGACGAGCCACTTTTCTTCCTTTTCTCCCCCATGTTTGCCTCCTTTGTCGAAATCAGGCCATGTCGCCTTTCGACTACAACAAAACCCCGAGTTCCCAAAACCTGCTCGCCCTCCTGGCCCATCAAGGGGTCGTGATCACGCCGACGAGGAACAAGACACTCCCTGACCTGAAAGAGATGGGGCACCTCCATTGTCAGCAGGCGGGGCTTGGTTTGAGACCGATGGACGAAGCCCGGGGCAGGTATTGGCGAAAATGGCTCTGTTATTCTTTGCGATAAGTTTTACCTTTTGTTTTTGCTGTTGGGGGGGGAGCTATTTTCTGCTTATTTCTTTATTTGATACCTCTAAATCCCATCTTCCTCCCAGTGTGAGCATAAAGCTCGGGGTGGACTGGATTTCTTGGGCTGCAGATCTCGTAATTCCCAGTTCTGGGGGTTCTCCTTGACTTCCTCACACCTTGCAGACACCTCAGTGCGGCTCGCCTGGGAGACAAGGCCTAAACTTTGGGGCTTAGCTTGGCCTAACTCCACCTAGCTTCCTGTCCAGAAAGGAAGCTCCCAAGGAGCACCAGGGCCGGAACAGGAAGTGTGAGCACAGTTAGGCCTAGCTCTGCCTCCAAGCCTTTTAGGCCTTTTCTCCCAGGCAAGCCACAGGGAGCAAGTCGGGCAGAACTTCCAGAATGGGGAAAGACAGGAAGGTTATTCCAAGAAATAAAAGATCCTAACTCTACTTGACATATTTTTTTTTGTCTTTCTTGGTCCTCATAAAAGCCCTGTGATGTCAGTCCTACTGAAAAGGTGTAGCTTTCCTGCGGTCGCCCAATGCATTTCATGGCTGAGTCAGGTTTTGAACCCAGGTCTTTAGAGCCCTAGCCAGCGCTCAAACAAGCATGCCATGCTGACTGTGATGAATTCTTACATCTCCACTTTGTCTTTTTGTTTGTATTGAGCCCTCAGGTGCTATACGATTTCCACCCAGGCTGGCCTTTCTGTCCATTGCTTAATGTTCATTTCATGGCAGGCATAATAAGGGCCAGAGAATCAATGGAATGACTGGACACCCTTTAATTGCCTTGTAATTGTGCTCTTTCCCTTGCTTTGCCCCCTGTGATGACGTCATGGATGGGCCAACACAGCAGCATGGCCTGCTGGCGCCAGGCCTAACCCAGTGTGATCACCATCATCCTTTCCCCAATGTTATTCCTTCTTGATCACCAGTAGTCTGACTTGGAAGAAAGTAGCTCCCCCCCCAATATGTTTCAAAGAATGAGGTGCCCCAGACTCAGAAGGTGGGGGATATCGCACATATAGTTCACCCACCATGAACATACTCCAGCTACATCTCCCAGAAGCCTTCCCCATGAACCGTGCTAGCCAGGATTTCTGGGAACTGTAGTCCAAAGACAGCTGAGGTTGGGAAGCACTCTTCTGTGGGGGGGAAAGGTAGTTTCTCCGGAAAGAAGGGACCTGCTTTTGTTAGAACTGCTCTGGTTGAACAGATGTTCGGAAGGTCCATGACCTGCTTCTCCAAAGATGCTCCGTTCTGGTTTCTTGCCCCATCTTCAGGTCGCTCAGCACCGGTCGACTCACCGACCTCCTCCTCAAGGCTGCTTTTGGGGAGACCGGGAGCAGTGACAGCTTGAACAATGAAAAGCCCATGGAGATCACAGGTACTTGGGTTTTGGGGGTTGGGGTTGTTTGGGGTTTTTGTGCTAATGTTGTGTTTCTCCTCTCTTCTGACTGTCCCATCTATCCATCTGGTTGTGTATGGCCTACTTGGTTCTTCTCCATGCCTCTTGCTCTACCTCCAGTATCTCCCCGATTGTCATTTGAACCAGTTTTCTTTCCTTCCCTACAGCTCCGTCGGCAGCCTGTGGAGGAACTGTACCCTCGGGGGCCCAGGAGGGCGCTTCCGCAACTCCCTCCCCCGTCGTCTTTACCGTGGGATCCCCTCCCAGTGGGACGACGCCTCCTCAGACCACCAGGACCCGGATGTGTTCTGGTAACGAAATGTTTCTTGCCGTCTCAGTGCTGTGGTCAGGAATGACCATGGGTTGCTTGGCAGCTGCTGTGTCGCCCCTCTAGTGGCCATGAGTTCCACAGCTCACTTGCCTTGTTGCTCAAGGCGGAAGGCGTTCTAGAAATGAGGTGTTTGTGTGATTAGTGCGAGGGCATCGCCCCTCTAGTGGCCATGAGTTCCACAGGTCACTTGCCTTGTCGCTCAAGGCGGAAGGCATTCTAGAAATGAGGTGTTTTGTGTGATTAGTGCGAAGGCGCGTAAGGATGGGACCGAAAGCAGTGGGTGGATTCAGTGCCGGTGACAGCCTACCGCGAGATACAACTTGGGCCATTGACCCTAAAGAAATGGCAGATTTGGAATAGAAGGGTGTTAGACTACAGCTCCCAGAAGTCTCCACCACCACCTCTGCTGGCCAGGATTTCTGGGAGTTAAAGTCCAAGAACATCTGGAGGGCAAAGGTTGGACACCACTGCCCGGGTCTTGCCTGAACTTGGGTGCAGGAACAGGGAGCCCTGTGTGAGCCCCAGGGCGCCCATGGAGACCATTTGTACCACTTAGGGCTCAATGTTTTCTAGACCCATTGGGTTACAGTTCCCATGATTCTTGGCTGTGTTGACCGGGGCTAATGGGAGGCAGAGTGAAAAAAACATTTGGAGGGCACCGGATGACCTGCTCCTAGTCCAGAAATCTGCTCCTGGTCCAGAAGAGCTCCATGTAGACATCTCGGCGTGCTGCCAGGGAACTCCATTTATATCGCAGAGATTCAACCTGTTAGTATATTTGACTGATTGATAAGTGAAGTATTGCGTGTGTGTAAAATAAAAGGGATTTAGCAAAGATAATAATAATTATAGACGGGCATGGACCCACCAGTTCGACGATTCGTGCCGGTTCGTTTCTTGGACAAACAGATGCCCTACCTCTTCCGGTGAGTGCTCACTCAGAGGGAGCGCCTGGAGGAGGCGGGGCAGGGAAGCCGGGGTCCTGCGCTCTGAGTGGGTGCCTGCCAGAGGAGGCGGGGCAGGGAACTGCCAAACACTTGTTTGACCAAGAAACGAACCGGCACGAAACACCGAACCGGCAGTTCGTGCCCATCTCAAATAATAATCATGTCCTGTCAAGTCAATTCTGACTTAATGGTGACATAAATAGGGATTAATATGTTCTGATTAAACGGGAGTTCGCTTCTAATTCACATTCAGGACATTTCAAAGTACAACAAGAAGAGAAGGGTGTTTTTCTTTTGTTTCAGGCCCTTCGTTAAGATAGCCTCTGTTTCTTTCGATATTTCTTTTTTTTCCTAGTGGGATCTTCTAGCTCTCTAAGTTCTGGAGGGTCTTTCAGTGGGCGACACTTCATTCTGGGAGCGAACGGGGAGGTCCTTGAAGCCCCGCCGGGCGTCCGGTACACGTTTGCCGATCCCCTCGCAGCCAACCTGGAAGGAGCTGTTACCTTTGAAGCTCCCGAGCTCCCAGAGGAAACGCTTATGGAGGTGAGCAGTATTTTTGGCCGTTCAGGATGTCTAACGAAGTGCTCTTTTGACCCCCCACATTTTGGGCGAATCAAAAACATTGGTTGCAATATGAGGGGAAGATGCCCTTAACCCTGAAAATAAGACCCGAAGCGGATTCACTGCCCCCACGGAATCGGATTCGCCAGCCTTCATTGTCTGTAGGGCTATAAGCTGGAGACTGTCTTGCATGGTAACAAATGGCCCAAAGACAATTGGCCTCCGGAACTCATGGCCATTGGGGAATTTATTTTAATGGCACCATTCTTCGTCCCTACAAGGAGTGTTTGAGTAGAACTGATTTTTGCATGGTTTTGTGTCTTCATAAAGGAGGCAGCACCAGACCTCTTTCGAAATTTAGCTGCCAATTCGCCCCCACTGAGAATAATTTTGCTTTTTTTTCACCTTTTGAGATGAGAAGGCATACATCATAGCTGCTGTTTAATAAAACGGTGTGTGCATTTAGATAGAACCGCCTGGGTTCGTTTCATGTCATAATCTCTTGAACGCTAGAGGGAGTAAAGCCGGGGATGCAAACTCAGCTGAAATGATTTCAAACAACCGTCGTCTGCGCCCACTCTATTCGGGCTGGCGGCATTTCACCGCGGATTGTTGCTCCTGCTTTTAAAGGCTCTCGGTTCCTCTTGCTTTTGAGCTGGAAGACGGCCAGCCCTGTCCTGCTCCTTTTCATTTGGGAGTTGAATTGAGGATCCGTGACTGTCTTTTGCCGAGGCCGAGATTTTGCCAGGGTGTCTGTTTGGGGTAAGAGGAGAGGGAGATGAAGGGCGTGGTGGAAAGAAACTAGGTCACTGTTTCATCTTTATTCATCATCTCTGAATGGCTCCTGCGGAGCCCGGGTGAATGCTCGTTGTGCGGAAGTCTTGATTCTAAGCCAGGAAGGAAGCAAAGCTGCTAATTTTGGATTATCCTGAACTGGCCAGTTCAGTATATCAGGCAAAATTCAAAGAACCCAAACAAGACAAAAACATGTGACACCTTAAAGACTATGATGTTTTAATGTGAGCTTTCGCGGTTCACTTTGCCCCAGACACGGAGAAAGAGAATGACATAATGGGGAAAAAATATCAGTTTCGCAAGTAGACTATCCTAAATATTCATTGGCTGTAGGAGTCTTGGGTGTGTGGTACATCTCATGCATAGTAATTTATGGCCTGTGTTTGATGCTGGGTTCTGTTGTAAACATTCCTGCAGGAGACAGAAAATGGATACGAGGCTTGAGCAAAGATGAGGGAAGAGGGAGAAGGTGTTTTGTGGGGGGTTTGAAGAGAGGCATCGCAAAGCGAAAGAACCCCATTCAGACCATCGCAAAAAGATCGCAATTGTGATCGCAAAAAAGATTTTCGTAATGCGGTTTCGTCGTAATGTGGGGCGGTCATAAAGCGAGGCACTACTGTATTCATATAATAGCTCAGTTCAAACGTATACGGCTGGATCTTGAGGTTTACAATGAGTAGGGATCTCCTCCCACGAACCTCCCTCATTGTTTCCGTTGTCTTCCCGGCTGTAGCAAGAGCACACGGACATCCTGCGCAGCCTGCGGTTCACCCTGGCTTTCGTCCACTACGTGATGGAGATCGCAGCCCTCAAAGGGAGCAGCAGCGAGCTGAGCGGTTCGGTGGCCTCCGAGTACCAGCTCCAGGAGAGCGTCGTGGCCGATCAGATCAGCCTGCTCAGCAAAGAGTGGAGGTGCGAATCAAGATCGGGGGGAAAAAGATTGGGGGGAATCCTTCCTTCCTGCAGTCTTTCAAGGGTTTTTTTCCCCACTTTGGGTCCCCAGAGGTTCGTGGACTGCAACTCCCAGAAGCCTTCACCCCTCGCTGTGCTGGCTGGGATTCCTGGGAGTTGTAGTCCAAGAACATCTGGGGACCCAATGTGGGGAAACACGGGGGGGGGAGACGGATTTGGTAGCCTTGCTCGAGATGCTGTAAGCGAAGGTGTTGGTTTTGCAGCTCAGAGCATGGTGGCTTATGGCAGCTCTCTCTATCTCTCTCTTTTTCTCTCTCTTTTGGTTGGTGGTTCCTTCACAGTTACGCAGAACAGCTGGTGCTGTACCTGAAAGTAGCAGAATTACTTTCCGCAGGGCTTCAGATGGCCATCGACCAGATCCGGGCAGGCAAACTGTGTCTCTCCTCCACGGTCAAACAAAGTAAGAGGTTTTTTTTTGATCAAATGCAGATGTGGCCTTTTTGCATCTCTCTGCGTGCGGTCTCTGGCCGAGGTTCCCAGAGAACCGCACCCTGCCCTCATCTAGCACTTGATTCGTCCTGGAGTGAAGCTTCAGCTCACGAGTGGATCCGAATAGTTTCAAAAGAGGGAAAAGATGCTAGAATCGGGCAAAAACATTTGGTCCAAAATGCAGAAGCCTTGAAGGCACTCATTGTCTCACTGACCAAGTATTCGGCAGGCTTCCGTGATGCATTCAGACAGCGCGCCATGTGCAGTGAGAAATTTTGGGGTGAGATCCATTGACATGGCTTTTCTTTCATGTTTGTCTGGGCCCGAATGCCTTAATGCCCTCGTGGCTCGAGGCACACATCCTGATTGCCAGCCGGGAGAACAAAACAGACACATTGCCTGATGTGACTAGGTCAGCACTTAGCTACGTGTGGGAGCTCAACCGTAATTGCTCTGGGTGCAACTTAATAATTATATGTTGTGTCTTTGCTGTTAAAATAGCAATGTTGTCATCCTGTTGGCTGAATCATGTCTTTCTTGGCGAAGGGTGCCCTCTGCGATCACAACATTTTACAGACCGGGAGATTGCTTTTATTTATATTATTTCAAACATATCAAGCCGAATATATATATATTCAGCAGCTTCCAGCTGGCAAGATGGCCAGTCTGCTGGCTGGAGGATGATGAGATCTGTAGTCCAGACAGAAACTTTACATGCTCTCAAACGTGCTCTTAGTTTAAACAGCACAAAACAATTTGCAAGATCTCTTGCAAATGGAAAGATGCCTAAGACTGAGCAGTTCAGGACCGGCTGGGGGGAGTGAGCTCCATGCATGGGGGGGGTGGGGGCACCCCCCACGCAAGTGCGGCGGGGATGTTGCACCCATGCGGGGGGGCATGTCATGCCTTCGTGCATGCGTGACACACACACTCTGCGCGAGTGTGCGGCGGGTGGGTGGAGATCCGTCTCCGCGGCCCAGTTCTGGCAAGCCCACGGACCGGCACCGGGCCACGGACCAGGGGTTGATGGCTCCTGATTTATAGGGTCCCTTCTAGCTCTGCCGTGGGTGTGAATACTATGCAAAAAAAATACACAGGATGTTGTCCACGCCCCAAGTCCCAGTCTTTGGTAACAAGCCCCGAGTCCCTCTTAAAAACAAGACTTCTTCCAATTTATCCTTGGGTCAGTCCTCTCTTTTTCCATCTGCCTCGCCTCCCAGGGTCGTTGTGAGACGCAAGTGGGAGAAGCAAGTCCCGCATGCCCCTTTGCGAGCTCACAAGGAGGAAAGCCAAGGGGTGACCGTCGTCTAGTAAACAGAAACGAAATCGTAACCGTTCAAAACGTAACTTGGGGGGCTTGCCTCCTTTCTCCGTCTTTGCTAGTCGTGCGGAAGCTGAACGACCTGTACAAATCCAGCGTGTCGTCTTGCCACTGTCTGAACCTGAGGCTGCAGAGGTGGTTCCTGGATAAGCAGAAGCTCATGGACCGGATCAACAGCATCACGGCCGAGAAGCTCATTTTCAGCCACGCTGTGCAGATGGTGAGGAAGTCCTTCCAAATTGTGGCTGGGCACTCTTTTCGGTGAAAGAGAGGCGCCCCGGATGCTCGAGTGTGTTCAGGACTGGCTGAAAACCAGAGTTTTCAATCTCTGGTTAATGTCTAGCTGCACAGCAGGAGTGCAGGGATTCACAGCACAGAATAGCTTCAAGCCCCCCAGATTAGTCCACCCCTTTTCCTCCTCAATCGGCACTCACAGTCTCAGTAACTCATTCTGAGAAATCCGTAGAGAAAGAAGAAAAGGTTTCACTTCCATTTCCTTTTGCTGTGCTCCCTCCTAGCCAACCGTCTGCAGACCTTCTAAAGCTGTGCTTCCCAACCTTGAGTCCCCAGATGTTCTTGGACTATAACTCCCAGAAATCCTGGACACCACAGCGAGTGAACTATAACTCCCAGAAATCCTGGACACCACAGCAAGTGAAGTAGGCTTCTGGGAGTTGCAGTGCAAATAAACCTGGGGATCCCCCAAAGTTGGGAGTCATTGTTCAAAAACACCAGGGACGTTCTCCCTTCCTCGGGATTCTGGAAAGGTATCTCGTTGGGGTTCAGGCTAGTTGAGAACACAGAGCCCAAGCTGTTTCCCCCCTTTGGGCAGAGAAGCTATGCTTGAGCTGCGGGGATTATGGACTGTTGGTGGGCCAAAGGTTTGTCCATGAGCAAGCCCAAACCATGTGGACATGCACGCTAGCCATGTCTTTGCAGGCCACTGAACGGCTTCTTCTTCTCCAGGTTCAGGCTGCGGCGCTAGATGAGATGTTTCACCACCGAGAGGACTGCGTGCAGCGGTACCATAAGGCGCTGCTGCTGATGGAAGGACTCTTGAACATCATCACTGAGCAGGGGGACGTTGAGAACATCAGCAAATGTAAGGGGCCGCCGTTGCCTGATGGCTGCATGCCGGCACATCAGTCGTGGAGGTGGGAGGTGGGGAAGAGGCATGGAAATGAGCTGGAGGTGCTTGAAAAGCAACAAGTCCCAAGAAATGAGGCAGGAAGATGCTGAGCACAGACAGCGCAGACCAGGGAGATGATGAAAGAGAGATGTGGGAGCAAAGATGCTGCTCTGTAACCAGAATCTTTCGCCATGAGACACAGGATAATTGTACTTATTTGGGGGCAAAATACTATTGTGTAGTTACTGCAGAACAAAATAATCTGACATGTAGCAACAAATCACTGCGTACCTGTGTGAATTCCTAGTCACATGCTAGGCTGCTAAACTGGCACACGGCAAGGCATCCAAGCATAACTTTGTCGATTAGCAGAAATTTGCCATAGCAGAAGTTAAGCCATTTTTGCTCCAAAACCATAACCACGCAACAGGATTTTGGCCGATAATTACGTGATTATAGTTTTGAAGTGCCTGGTAAGAAAAAAATGTCTACATTCTTGGTATGTGTTGTCAAGCCGCTCCCACCTTATGATGACCTTATAGGTTAGTGATCTCCAAAATGTCCTCACGTGAAAAGCTCTGCTTAGGTCTTGCAAACATCATCATCAACACTTTAGACCTGCAGAGCTGGAAGGGACCATAGGGATCATCCAGTCCAGCCCGTCAAGGAGGCCCAGTTGGGAATTGAACTCCCAACTTCTGTCTCCGCAGTCAGAGACCTAAACCACTGACCTATCCAGCAATTTGTTGGTTTGTTTATGGCATTTATTCATTTGCTAGCTGGCTGCAAGTTAGATACCTGGCTGCAGAGCCAGAAATTGGGAGTTTGATTCCCCTACTGTGCTTCCCAGAAAAGCCAGCCTGTAAAGCCTTGGGCAAGCTGCACCATCCCAGGATGCCCCCTAGAGGAAGGGAAGGGTAAGCCACTTCTGAGTATTCTCTACCTGGAAAATCCTGAAAAGAGTCGCCATAAGTCAGAATTGACTTCATGGCACACAGTTGTTGTTATTATAGTTGTGTGAGTTTGTTGTAGCTGGAACAGCAGAGTCCCTTATAGCACTTAATAAAGTTTTATCTGTTCTAAGCTTTTGCAGCCTGGTCACATCCAGCAAAGCGAGTGGCCAACACATCGCTTACCCCAGATCGAATCTGTACTGAAGTTGCTACAAAGCTTCCTCTTAGATTTCACTTGGTTACTGAATTTAAATTTATTTTATTTATTTATTCTATTTATACCCCGCCTATCTGGTCATTACGACCACTCTAGGCGGATTCTTAAGGCAAACTGTCTTGTCGGCGCTTAACGGTCTCTTACGGCTGGCAAGAGGAGAGTGACATATTTTCTGTACTCTTTTTTTTTAAAATCTCTCCCCAGGCAAAATGTGTATCGAACGCAGACTGTCAGCCCTCTTATCCGGGATCTGTGCATGAAGGGAAGCCTGCTGCTGTTTCCTTCAACCTCTGGAAAGCATCCGTTGCCAAAAAAGATGGGAGTCGGCAGCACCAAGCCTCTCAGACGCCGGCGGCCATTTTCCTTCTTTGGCTCCATGTGAAGAGAGACTTCGTATTTGGATTTTCTTTTTTTTCTGTCCCTCTCCTCAAGTTTGGCTTAGTCTTCGGGGACGTCAAGAGGGCTGGTTGAGTCCTTTCGGCGGCTTGAAACATGAGAAGCGTTAACAGCCAGTCTGCCTTTCTCCGTTGGCTGGGAGGTGGTTGAGGGGTGTGTTGTTGGGTTTTCTCAGGGGGGGGGAAGGACCCAACCTCTAACATGCCCATTTTTGAGGAGCCGGCCTTGCTCGAGAGTTGGCGGGGGGGGGGGAAAGGACCCAGCCTCTAACATGCCCGTTTTTGAGGAGCCGGCCTTGCTCAAGAGTTGATTTACACTACACTCTGCGATCCGCTGCGGGCAGTGGATACATCGCACTCTTCCGGTCTTGGAAAAGATGACTTCAATAAACAAACAAACGATGAATGGGAATCTTGTTGGTTAGGAAGAATTATCATTCCGCAGCCGAATCCAGCAGAATCCTCAACCCCACCTACGGATTGCCGATCTCTGAGAGTTTCCCAGCGCGCTGTCTACCGGTCAATCTTTTCTCAACCTCTGCCTCGGTCTTCTTACCGAACATCAATTTGCACAGCAAGTTGGAGTGTGTGTGTATTGGGACCCCCCCCAAAGAAACTGGCTCGTTTTTGCTTGAACAGTTGTGGTGTTTTCGTTCTTCAGTAGTAATGGAGCAGGTCTTCAGTTTTGGGGAACTCGCATCTCTCCGGCAAGACAAGACGGGTGGATGATTTGATGATGGATCGGTGGGAGGAGAAGACTTTAGTTTCTCGTTTTCTTATGGTCTGATCCGTAAGAAGAACATTAAAGGAAAGAACGAAACAACCCAGAGCCTTCCAAAACGGGACTCCTCTCGTTTCTGTCTCAAGAAGCCAAAATACGACGTTACGAATACATGAACCGTTTTCTCTACCGAGACGGAAGTCCTTTGAATCCACGGAGGTGGTTCTCATCCGTGGCATGAGGAATCATCAGTGCTGTTTCAGGGTTGCTGGGCAGAAACACACACACACACGCTTTGTGAATCAAAAGGAGCACTTTACGGACGATTTGAACTGCGATTCGGAGGCACGCACACACACACACACACACACACGCTTTGTGAATCAAAGGAGCACTTTACAGACGTTTTGAACTGCGATTCGGAGGCACATTGCCGTGTACCCGAAAATGTCGTTAACTTACAGGAATGCTGTTCTGCTTTGCCTCCCTCACCGCCCGCCCGTTGGCTGATACGTCGTCTGTCGAGTTGCGTTTTTTTTTTAAGAAAAATAATAAATTGCACTACAAGTGTGTATGAGTGTTTGTGCATATATATATTAATACATATTCCTGCAGTTAATATGTATTGATATGTATATGAAATAATGTGTAGTGTAAACTGTTATGTATTTTATCTGTACTGTACCTTATGCTTTGAGGAGGACTAAGAAAGAGAAGTCGGTTTTAAGCTCGGAAGTCTTGAATACCACGAATTATTTCCTCTGCATTCTGACGTTTCCTTTTTTATTCTCACCTTCCCCCCACCCTAATTTTTCGCAAACGAATACATCCTTTTCGATGCTCCCTGCTTTTGAAATGCTTGAGGCAAAACCCGGACATTGCAAACCTTTGCAAGCGAAGGCTGCCCTTTCCTTAGCTGTTTCGGTTTTTACGAAACAAGTCCAATTTTTTTGCACCCCCGTTTGACTGTTTTTCAGCATTTCCAGTCACCCCCCCTCACCTCCCATTTTTTCAGGCACCTATGTAGCCAAAAAAAAGAGAGAGAGAGGTTGGAGTTGTATGTTGCGTGTTGCCGTAGGTTCTTGCGTGCCTGCGTGCGTATGTGTGTTGGACTACATTTGAATTGAGTGTGTGTGGTAGTTTTACGACATCACGAGGTTGGTTGGTGGTGATGCTTTTGGTTTTTGTGTGTGTGGTTTTTACAGAACGGATCACCTGTTAAGCAGTATTTTTGTTTTCCTGTGTTAGACTAGGAAGCACCTTTAGCAAACAAAGCCTGAATTTCAGGGGTAGTTGAGTTGAATGGTTGGTTTTAAAAGAGTGGGTCAAATATATTTTATTTGGTCTGCATTGCTTCGCTTTCCAGCTTGTTGGCTGTCTCCCCCCCCTCACTCTCCTTTTAAAAAAATATGCAACGAACAATCTCACAGACTTGAACGGCAGTTAAGTAGCTTCTGGTCGTAGGTGGTCCTCGTCCCTTCGTTACCTATAATTAGAAAATCCAATGGGATCCATAAGCGAGACCAGCTCTTTGGAAATCATTTGTTTGTTGCATCTTTTCTTTCCCAGCTTGCTCCTGGGGCAACTTTTTTTGTGCTCGAACGATAGTAAAAAAAGAGAGATTCTGTTGACTTTGAGGCATTACTGGGGTGGGATAACATTTCATAGAGGACTGTACGACAGCAAAATTCAGGTGGCTGCTTCAACCAATCAGGAAGTAGGGATTGTTATTATTTTTTGTACTAGTACTGATTGTGTGGGTTGACACAAACATCATTAGAAGTTGTCCTTCATTATTGGGGTGGAATAATGTGTTTCAGCACTGATTTTTTAGGTTGAAGACCTACTATTTCCCAACTGTGGTTTCAATCTGTAAACCTTTCCTTTGCTTGGTGAGCCTCATGGGGTAGTGGTAGAACTACAATACAGTGGTGCCTCGCTTAGCGATCGCTCCGTTGAGCGATGAAATCGCTTAACGATGGGGTTTTGGCCATCGCCAGAGCGATCGCTTAGCGATGGCCCCTATGGGGGAAAATCGCTTTGTGATGATCGCAGGGAAGCGATCACCGCAAAGCCCCCATTTTCACCCAGCTGATCGGCAGTTCCAAAATGGCTGCCGGAAAACAAAATGGCCGTCCGATGTGTTGCCTCACTTTAGAGGCACCAAAAATGGCCGCCGCAATGGAGGATCTTCGCATAAGGTTAGTTTTAAAGCCCATAGGAACGCATTAAACAAGTTTTAGTGTGTTTCTATAGGCTTTTGAAAATTGCTTAGCGATTAAATCGCTTAGTGACGTTTTTTCCAGAACAGATTAACGTCGCTAAGCGAGGCACCACTGTACTGCAGTCAAGACTGCTCATGACGTGAGTTTAAGGTTACTGTCCTGAGGCTACTGGGCTGAGGCTGACTCTGCCTTCCAATCTTCCGAGGTCAGTAATTTCAGTGCCCAGCTCACTGGGAGGCAGGCAATATGTACTCTGCACAATTAAATTGTAAACTGCCCAGAGTATGCTTTAAGCACTATAGGGTGGTATATAAGCAGCACAGTTTGGGGCGTTTACACAGAGCAGGTGTCTGAGATGAATCTCTTTTTCTCCCCCCCCCCCCCAGTCCTTCTTTGTTCTAGCACAGAGCATGGTAATGTTACGTTCTGGCCTACAGCTCCCATGTTCCCCAAGGGGCATGGGCAGTAGCCTACAAATTTGGAAATCTGTAGACTAAAAAGTAATTTTTTTAATGTAGTCTGGGAAAGTACCTAACATTACACACACACGCCGTGTGAACACCTGTTCTGTTGCGGGTCTGTTGATTTTTACCCTTGCTAAATGTTAACGCAACGGCTGACAACTTGGGGGCGACTAATCTTGAGAAGCAGAAATCCATTGATCCTATTTTCTTGGGTTTCTTCTGTAATTCCTGTCTTTATTAGGGGGTAGACCGATGTGTGTTTTTGAATTACAACCCCCAGCATCATAATCCAAATTTCCAAACGCCCAGTCTGAAATTTCTAGATTTGTAACCCAGAGGCACAAATCTGCATACCTGCAAGTTTTTAATCATTCAGGTGCCCTTTGGGTCGTTATATTTCTCCTCCCCTCTGGGAATACGTCTTCCTCTGATAGGTAGAGCCCAGGCCTTTAACCACAATGCCATTAGAAATCTTAAATTCAAGCCACCCATCCCCGGCTTGGCGCCTAATTAACGATACAAGGTTGAATTGACATTAAAAGTGCAAGCTCATTGCGTGGGAGTTGAGCTGCTGAATGTGATTCATGCTTTGACTAAGACTAATGGAAAGCTTGCTCTTTTGTTAGCCTTTAAGACACCACAGGGATGTGGTGGCACTGCGGGCTAAACCACAGAAGCCTGTGCTGCAGGGTCAAAAGACCAAGCAGTCGTAAGATCGAATCCACGCGACGGAATGAGCTCCCGTCGCTTGTCCCAGCTCCCGCCAACCTAGCGGTTTGAAAGCATGCAAATGCAAGTAGATAAATAGAGACCACTTCGGTGGGAAGGTAACAGCGTTCCGTGTCT